TGTTTGTTTACATATTTTAAAAAACCATCTAATTCCTCTTGTCTCCTTTTTTCAATCTTCGTATGTGAATAAACTTTTTCTATAATTTTCTTCTGGAGAGGATCTGCCACATGGTCAACCCATCTTTTATATAATATCTCTTTTCTTCTTGTATTTAAGAAGTCATTATGTTTTAAATACTTATCTAGTTCCTAGTTAACAATGATAGAAAAAAAGAATATATTATCCTAAAGCTTTCTTGTTCTAAAATTTTCTAAAACTTAAACCTCATAAGTTCAAATTATTCCTAAGAATAACCCACAAAGGCATTCATTAATTCAGCCATTTATTTGGCTTCTACTATGTGACACACACTATTATGGAAACAAGAAATGCATGGGTAATTGAGACAACATGTCTGCTCTCCTTGGGGAGACAGACTAAAAACAACTCTACAAAACAATAGGAGGAGGGACAATATAACAAGGCATAGGTATATGTGCGTTTATATATATACACATACACACGAGGAATCTTCAGAAAGTTCATGGAAACATTCATATTTTAATTCCACTTTTCTATGAATTTTTTGAAGTTACCTCATATACACATATATTATATATATACACACACACACACACACACATATATATATATATACACACACACACACATAGTAACTGAAGACATAGAGAAGAGAAAAACCATTTCCTAGTGTCTTGAAAGATTCCCAGTTTTGGTAATTCCTCAAGAAGTTAAACAGAATTACCACATGACCAACAATTCCACTCCTAGGTATGTACCCAAAAGAATTAAAAACAGTGACTTAGATATTTGTACACCAATGTTCATTGCAGCATTATTCACAATAGCCAAAAGGTGGAAACAACCCAAGTGTCTATCAACAGATTGATGGATTCAGCCACAAAAAAGAATGAAGTTCTGATATATGCCACAACATGGACTAACCTCGAAAACAATATGCCAAAGTGAAATAAGCAAAACACAAATGAGCAAATATTGTAGAACTCCACATATATGAAATATCTTGAATACCAAAAAACAAACCAACCAGTGTTGTTCTTACCTATGTACACCTGAGTAATAATTAGTCAGTGTGTTCCCATAACAGAGCTTAAGGATTAGCTCACTCATGATGACTGTGGAAACCCCACTAAGAAGAAACATGCTGTATCTGTGAAGGAATCCCCACAAAGTATTGGAAGAGAGGAAATCTATGAAAGCAATCAAAGAGACTCCTGTGGTTAATCCCAGTGCTATTGAGTGTTTTCAATTCTATATTCTGTATTTTCTAAACTTTTTTACAGGATGTACCATATCTAAAATGGAAAAACAAAATTTAATTTTTAATTGAGATACAATTTCTAGCCAATTCTTACCTTAATTAAATAATTTTCTCTATATAATATTGATTGAACAGCTGCATCAGTATCTTCTTTACCTAAGGTCTAGAAGGACAGAATTAAACTTTGAAAACCAAATCTTGAAAAAATTAAATTATTAGTACTATCTGGACTCATTATATTTTAATGTGACAGACATATTCCTGAAAAGTTCTCTGTAAGTCCAATTTTTATACTTCAAATCATATCAAGTGCTTTTTAAAGAGTATTTAAATCTTTCTGCCCATTCCTATGCTTCAAAGTGGCATCGATGACAAATGCAAAAGAAAAGAGAAGAACAAATTTGAAATTAATTTATTCAAGTGATAAATATAGTAATGGAAGTAGTCTACTTAAAATTTGTTAGATTTTAATAACAAGTGCTGGAACACTATAAGATTTGGGGATTTGTTTTTAAATGCTTACTAGTCAAACATTTCAGATCTTTTAAAAATGCCAGAAGAACAGAAATATTCTGGAGCTTTGCAAATAATCAAGTTCCACAACAAAGGAAAAATTGGGACCTAGAGTCTACATTTTTTAAATTGATAAAGAATATTAGTAATTATATGGGAAAAACAAAGGAAAATGGTTCTAATATACACGCTTAAAACCAGACCTAACCCTCTCTGCTGTCCTTTCCATATGCCCTGAGTTTAAGAATACTTTATAGTATACCAGAGTTTAGATTGTACATATATAGAGAGGGGAGGGGCAGGCTGTTTGGAAGATTATAATTGAATAAAAATAACCATAGTTTTTAAACCAACTGAAAAAAGTATCAAATGATCTCTTAGTACCTGTTTGCTTACATATTTTAAAAAACCATCTAATTCCTCTTGTCTCCTTTTTTCAATTTTATAATAAAACAGGTAGTTGGATCTTCTCAAAAATGAAAGCTCTTATTGAAATAAAAGAAACTTTATCTTAAAGTCTTCTTACATTCACTTAATTAATTTTTATAGACAACTTATAAATTACCTGAGAGACTGAAACAACTTTTCTCAGACAGCAGGGACATAAATATAATTGGAATAAATTCATTTACCATTAGTGAAGACTCTATTACTATAAAATCAATATTAATAATAAATATTAATTTTATATACATGTCACATTTTCAGATTTTAAAGCAACACAATCTTTAGGAAATAGTTCAAACAACACTAACTTTTCCATTTTTATAACAAATTTTCTACAATTATATACCTCCCAGAAAATACAAGAGGTTGATTCCTAGCAAAGAATTATCTTTAAAATCGTCCCATTACTGAAAAATAAAATATGCCCAAATTAACTGTTAGTGGAAGTAGTTGTCTTCAGTCCCATACTCTTATTTCTAGAACACATAAGTAAAATGTCATAATCTCAAAACTATCCTCCCCATTAACACTCAAGGAAGTTAAGGCTCATAGGAGTTAATCAGCAACTAGAAGCCTAGAAAATCCGGAGCTGAACCAGAATTTAAACTCAAAAGTATCTAACTCCAAATTCCTTTTCTTTGTTCTTTTGCCTAATACAGTTGCTATTCCTGGCAAGTATGATGTTCTCAACCAAGATGTATACTGAATTAATATTCTAGACAAAAATATAAAAAACAACAATCTGAAGACACTGGAGAGTGATCAAAAGCAGAGAGAAACTGGAGGATAGTTAACACTTGGAAAAAGAGGAAAGCATTGGATTAATTTTCAGTTTTTCATGGACTCTTGCCTGAGAACAGGCCTAGTCAGAGCTAAAGGAGATTGCTAAAACTCAATTAGAAATAGTCAGTCTTATGGGTTCAGAATTAGAAGACAGAGTTCAGGGCAATCATGGGAGTTGGGAGGTGAGAGAGAAAAAAAAAAAAAAAACCTGAAAGGAGAGGGCCATAAAAGGGATACCACAAATTCTGCAAATGAACTCTGACCAAATCTCTGGCAGATTCTTGAACTGTGTATGCACAAGGCAGATTCCATGTAGCCCAGCTAAAGCTAAAAAAGACTAATCAGTATTTCTCCTGCTTGCTTCCAACTGCAGAAGAGACAAAGTTTGGAGTTTGAGTTCAGCCAAGTTAACTGCTTGCTAAAACAAAACCTCAATATTCTTCAGCAAACCAAGCACACTGCCACCACTGCCCTGGGGCCCCACCAGGGTCCTGAGGCATGGAGCTGCGGGAAGCCAAACCCAGCCACAACCAGGTAAAGAGCATCCCCAAAACACCATTTCCACACAGGTAGCCCACTATAGCCACCGCAATTGCCACAGCTGCCATAAAAGCAGCTACTCACTATAGCAGTAGTCACAGTTACCATGCTGATGGCACACCAGATGCACAAGTGCTTTGACACAAAGAGAGTCATCAGCAGAGACAAAAAAAAAAAAAAAAAAAGAAGAGGTCCTCTCTCTCCACAAAGCACACTCCAGAGTAACAGAAGAAGCATCTGCTATACAATAATTGTGGGGGACCTGAACACACCTTTCTCAGTACTGGACAGATCATTTAGGCAACAAATCAACAGAGAAATAGTTAATCTATCAGAAGGAGGGAACAAATCTATGGTTATTAGAGGGGGAAGAAGGAGTGGATGGAGAGAGATTGGATAAGAAGCATAAAGAATAAGTATGATTTGTAATAATGAATATGCTAACAAAAAAATAATAACAAATTTTCTTCAGCAGAACACAACAGAATCCAGACCCTCTACCATGTATCATTCATAATGTCCAACACATAATCTAGAATTACTATACACACAGGAAACAGAAAACTGTGACCCATACTTAAGAAAAAGACAATCATGAAAATAAAAAATCAAAAACAAATTTAAAAAATGCAATCAATGGAGACCAACTCTGAAATGGCCTACATGTTGGAATTAGAAGACAAGGATTTTAGGACAGCTATAGCTATGCTTAAGAAGTGAAAGGAAATATTCTCACAATTAAATAGATAGAAGATCTCAGCAGAGAAACAGAAACTGTAAAAAAGAACCAAGTGGAAAAATACAGTTCTTAAATTTTAAAAACAAACCTCAGTGGGTTTAACAGCAGATTGGAGATGATATAAGTATAGTCAGTGAATTTGAATAAGACATATCATTAGAAATTATCTGGTGCTGTCCAGATAGCTCAGTTAGTTAAGAGCAGCCTTGTAACACCAAGGTCAAGGGTTTGGATCCCCATACCAACCAGCCACTGGAAAAAAAAGAAAGAAAGAAATTATCCAATCTGGAAAAAAGAGAAAAAAGATTGGAAAATAATGAACAGAGCTACAGTGACCTATGAGACAATATAGAAAGATTCAACGAATTGGTAATTAGAATTGCAGAAGTGAGGAATAAAAGAATGGAGTGGGAAAAAAAACTGAAGAACAGTTGGATGAGAATAGATAGAGTAACAGGGAACAGATTTATCTTCCCACCTGAAAAAATGAAAAAAGAAATTAAACTAATGAAACAATAGTTTTCAAAATATTGGATATCAGGCAATGAAGGGGAGTGGCCCCTAAAAAACGAAAAACAAAAAACAAACAGTCCAACTGTCTCCCTGAACTGAGGAGGGGTGCTGGGAGTGGAGGGAATCCAGGGCAGTTAGATATCACAGAGTAGAGTACAATAGAGAGGAGAGCTACAACAGAGAAAGAGCTCTGAAAATCAGCAGAGGGTCAAATCTGCAGAGGGTCCCCCTTGAATCTTCTGCTGAATGCTAAACATTATACGTATGTGGGAAAACTATCCAAAGAAACACTGTGCAAAGAAACACCTGAAAGGATCAGGGGAGCAATCTTTAGAGGTCATACAGTCCCGGGAAGGTTCCCCTCAACACCAGCCAGAGTGAAAACCGCCATTGTTCACAGAATATAGAGCTGAGTACTTGGAGGGGTATTGTATCTGCACTGGAACAAAATTGGTCCTACAGTAGATGCTGCTATGGTCCTGTAGTTCAATGAACTCCAAGCAGTGGAGAAATTAGATCCCGCAAACATTGCTGATGATAATGTAAAATGGTATATCTGCTGTGGGGAAGTTTAGCAGTTCCTACAAAAGTTAAACATACAGTGACCATATGACCTAGAAATTCCACTCATTGATTATATACCCAAGAGAACTGAAAACATATATTCACACAAAAACTTGTACATAAATGTTCATAGCAGCGTTATTCTTTATAGAAAAAAAACAAGAAACAACTCAAATGTCTATCCACTGATGAAAAGATAAACAAAATGTGGTACCCATACAATGGAATATTATTTAGCCATTAAAAGGGAGAAGTACTGATACACACTACAGCATGGATGAACCTCGAAAACATCATACTAAGTCAAAGAAGTCAGTCACAAAGGACCATATACCGTATGATTCCATTTGTACAAAATGTCCAGAATAGGCAAATCCATAGGGACAGAAAGTAGATTAGTGTTGTCAGTGGCCAGGGTGAGAGGGGAATGGAGAGTGACTGCTAAAGTGTGCAAAGCTTCTTTCTGTGGTGATGAAAATGTTCTGGAATTAGATAATGGTCACTATTGTACAACCTTGTAAATATACTAAAAACACTGAATTGTACACTTGAGCATAGTGAATTTTATAGTATATGAATTGTATCTCAATAATAAAAGTCAGCAATAAAAAAACAAAAAACTCAATTTAAAAAATTAGCAAAAGAGAGGAAGGAAGGAAGGAAGAGGGAAGAAGAAAGGAATGGAGGGAGAAAGAAAGGAAGGAGAAGGAAGGAAGAAAAGGAAGGAGAAGGAAGGAAGGAGTACGGGAAAAAAAGACAGAAAAACACAGGCAAAGGACATGAACAAACACTGCCCCAAAGAATATTTATAAATGGAAAGTAAGGGCCGGCCCGGTGGTGCACTGGAGAGTGCGCTGCTTGAGAGCGCAGCGGCGCTCCCATTGAGGGTTCGGATCCCATGTGGAGACCAGTTCCCGCTCACTGGCTGAGCGCGGTGCGGGCGCAACACCGACGGTTGCGGTCCCGTTGCCGGTCCCTGGTACGGGCGTGACACTGAGGGATGCGATCCCATTACCCGTCAGTAAAAAAGACAGAAAGGAAAAAAAAAAAATAAAATAAATAAATGGAAAGTAAGACTTGAAAAAATGCTTAACATCAATAGTCATTAGGAAAATGCAAATTAAAAGCACAATGAGGTACCACTATACATCTTTCAGAATTTCTCAAATTAAAAAGACTATACAAAAAAAAAAAAGACTATTATCACATGATCACATGTTGGCTAGAACATTAAACAACGGGGACTCTCATACCCTGCTAGTCAGAATGTAAAATAATCCAGTGGCTTTAGAAAAGTTTGGCAGCTTCGACAAGTTAAATTCATCTACCATATGACCCAGCCGATCCCCTGGGGAGTCGAAGCAGGGAGGGAGTGATTACAAAGGGACACGATGATGAGACAACTTTGGGAGTACTGAATATGTTCATTATCTTGATTGTGTGATGGTTTCATGTATGTATACGTATGTCAAAACTTAAACTGTACACTTTAAATATGTGCAGTTTGTTATATATCAGTATACCTTTTAAAAGCTTTTTAGAAAAGAAATTACAATCTAAAAACAATACAACGTGTCAAAATTCGGGTGAAGCAGCTAAAGCAGTGCTTGAAGAGAAACTTACAGCTTTGTTATATTAGAAAAGGTATATAATTAATGACCTATGATTCCACTTTAAGAAGCTAGAAAATGAACAGCAAAGTAAATACAAAGTTAGGACAGCGAAAGGAATAATAAAAAGAACTAAACAGAAAACAAAAAATAGAAAAGAATAACACATTTAGCACAAGCCACTTTTCACTGCAACTACCGAAGCAAAAACCCCAAAGTGCCGTACTATTATACCTTCATAAAAGAGAGCGTCCGTGGTTCCAACCATTCTTTTGAGCTCTTGAGTTTGGGAAGTGCGCCAGTTATCAGATCATCACTGTCTACGTTTTTCATTGTGGTCACAAATAACAAAGCCCTTAGAAAAACTAAAAATTTGTTTATTTAATAATGAAAATTCACAATCATCTTATTTTCTCTTCTGTTAATAATCAATATTTGTGACCCTGAATGGACATGAAATGGATTCTGAACATTAGCCATCCACACTTTCCCTAACAAGAGGCCTTTACCAGAGGCTTCTGATGACGTCTTCAGCGCCAGCCTCCTCTAAGCAGGGGAAATTCTCTCTGAACAAACTCCTTGGAATGGCGTCCCACCTCCTACGCGGTGTCCCATTCGGGCCACTGTGGCAATTTCAGCCTGGCCTCTAGGAGCCCCATTTGCAGCACTTTCCTGAGTTGCAACTTTCTGTGTACTGAAGCCCAGGCTGCTGCTTAGAGAAAGAAAGGAGGGGCTTCGGTGAAAATGTGGAGTCTTCAAGCTCCGAGAGGCCGCAGGCGCCCCCCAAGCCTGCATCTGAGGAGAAGCGGCCACTGGTGTCTGCAGACCCACAGCACTCGCTCCCGGGCCTGTCCCTCCCCCCGGCGAGCAGGCTGCGGGCGGCCGCCACCACCACCCCCAGCCCCCAGCCACTCGCGCGGAGACGGCGCGCGGTGACCGCCCCGGCCTGGCAGGGAGGCTGCCGGCCGCGACAGGCACCTCGGCTCCCCTCCCACGGCCGGCGGGGCTGGACTCTTCGGCGCCACGCTGGGGCCCAGCCCGACGGCCCAAGGCCCCGGAGTCGTCCGGATGAGGCGGAAAGTGAGCCCGCCCGGTCCTGCGGCCTCCGCGCGAGCCCGTGGCTTCGGAATGTACGAGTGTTCGCGTCCAGTGTCGCCGGAACGCGGCCCCTCCGCCGCGGAAGACGACAAGGAGTCCACGCGGACGACGCCGAGGCGCGCGGAGGACTGCGGCCTCTCAGGCCGGGGAGGACGCAGGACGCCGGCCGCGCGGCGGTGGTTGTGGGTCGGCCGTGCTTTGCCAAGCGGCTGTGGTCCCCGCTTCTCGGTGACGGGGGATGTCACAGCCAGTCCCACCGCCGCCTTCCCCTGCGTCCGTTGACTGGCGGGTCCTCGGCACTCCCGCCCCGGAGCGCCGGACTCCTGAACCCCGAGTGGGGTGGCGTCCCGTCCCCAAGTCCTCGCTGCTGGGTGCGACTGCCCAGCCCACAGGACTGGAAGTTAACCGCACCCACCGTCCCTACGCGGTCCCTGTCCCGTCCCCCCAGCGAGCCAATTCACGGGGAGACGGTGGCGGGAAAGGGGCGCCGGCCCTGCAGTGTCCCCCGAGAGGACGAGTGTTTGTGGCGGTTGTCCTGAGGAGGACGGTCCAGGAAGACTTGGGGACTTGTGCGGAAAATGTTGGATTAAGTCCCCTACAGGGGTTTGTAGTCCCCTGGGGTGCTGATCAGTGTCCAGAGTCGATGCTGGTCGGCGGGAAGGGAATGTGAGGAACGGTGACCAGCGTACCTCATGTGGGCTCGTTTACTGAGCTCAGTGGTTCGCCTTCCCGGCTAGGCTTTATTTTTTGGTTGGATGGTTTGCTTGTTTTTAAATCCCAGGTGATTCTGATTCTACCATTGACATAAGCTAGAAAAGTATGACACTGTGATTTTCCAGACCCAACTTCATAATCCACTCTGTGCACCGCAAATTTTCTCTGATTCTCGTTTCCTCTTTGAGTATTAGTGGACACGAGATGATGGGCCGCCCGTTTCCACTCACCTTTTCGAAGTGCACCTGCTGATACTGACTTAAGTGTCTTAGGGACATTTGTATTCTCATGCCTTTTAAAAGCTAGCTAGAGGCTGGCCGGTTAGATCCTTTGGTTAGAGCACAGTGTTATCAAACCACGGTTAAGGGTTCGGGTCCCCACTCCCGCCAGCCACCAAAAACAAAAACAAAAAAATAAAAGCCAACCAGAGCGGGTGTTTTCAACTGCGGTTCCCGTTTCAGAACTGAGGGAGCATGAGCCATCTGCACAACTTACTGTTAGATACCCTCCTGGGAACGAAGCACGTGGACGGCGCGGCGCTGATCAAGCTTCAGGAGCGGAGCCTGTGTGTAACATCACCAGGATTCAGCGTAAGAAAAAAACGCTTGGGTATAAGACTTAAACTTTTTCTTAAAGAGCCATAGAAAATACTTTAGGTTTCCGGGCCATACGGTCTATGTCAGAACCATTTAACTCTGCAGTTGTAATGGAAAAGCAGTGGATGTGACTGTGTTCCAATAAAACTTCATTTATGGACACTGTAAGTTGAATACCATATAGTTCTCATGTGTCACAAAGTATTCTTCTTTTTTTTTTTTTTTTTAAAGATGACCGGTAAGGGGATCACAACCCTTGGCTTGGTGTTGTCAGCACCACGCGCAGCCAGTGAGCAAACCGGCCATCCCTATACAGGATCTGAACTCATGGCCTTGGTGTTATCAGCACCACACTCTCCTGAGTGAGCCACAAGCTGGCCCAAAAGTATTATTCATTTTTTGAAATTTTTTCTCCAACCATTTAAAAATGTGAAAATCATTCTTAGCTTGCAGGCCATAAAAAACTGGCAGTGGGCCAAATTTGGCTGGCCACTAGTCACAGTTTGCCAATTCCTGGTCTAAATATTTAACCTTTCCAGGTAATGCCCAGTGATGTCCGAACACTTGTGAATGGATTTGCCAAGAACCCTTTGCAAGCCCGAAGAGAAGGATTGTATTTCAAGGAAAAGGTTTATAAATGTGTCCGGGCAGATGAACATTCTCTTTATGCTAAGAATGTGAGTGTTCAAGATTTAAAGAAAGCTGGGTAAAAAACCTTAAGAAAAGAATTTTATTTCAATTTTCTTTTCCACTCCTCATCCTCTCTGCGAAACAGAGTAAGCCCTTTACTGCGTTGAAACATTGTCTGAAACAGCCATGAAGGCATTTGTGAAAGATAGTACTATCAGAGAGCCTGGTTTTGAGAAACATTCATTCCAGAATCTATCAACTGAACATTGCCTGAACTACCCACTACAGTCCATCCTTCATATTCTACATCCTCCTCCTTAAAAAAAAAAAGCAACGTCACTCCTGTGCTTAAAGCCTCTCTTGGCTCTTTGTTGCCTGTAAGGAATTAAGGAGGTGAAATTCACATTCACTGTATGCCTTATATTATGGTGTATTGGATTGAATCATGTCCCCCCAAAACTCCCTGAAACTTGAATTGTGTCCCTCAAGTGTTATGTATTAGAAATTAGCCCCCACTGTGACTGTGAAGAGGGTGGGAAATCCTATTATGGTAATTGAAAGGTGGAGCCTTAAAGAGGTGATTGGATTGTAGGACCCATTCAGTAGTGAATGGATTAAAAATGGTGGTCAGGGGCGTGGTTCTGAGGGCTTTAAAAGAAGGGGAGAGTCTGTCTTTCTCGCTCTCTGCTCTCTCTGCTTCCACCATCTTGCAATGTGAGACCCCTGGGTCACTGTTGCCACCACCATGGACTTTGGACTTCCCAGCCTCAGAAACTGTAAGCAATAAATTTTGTTTTCTTTAGAAATTACCCAGTCCCAGGTATTCTGTTATAGCCACACAAAACAGACTAAAACATGGTTAAACACACTTCACCCACATTATAAACTAAATAGCCTCATTTTACAGATGAAGAAATAGATTTAACAAGGTTAAATAACTCTTCCATAGTCATGCAGCAGAAAATGAAGATGCTGGAATTCAAGCTCAGAACCATCCAATTCCAAAATGTATTCTGTCCCATTATATTAGTTGTTCCCATTGAGATAAGGGTATGTTACGATTAATTAGGGAACTGTTTCAAAATACATATGCTGTTATTATGACAGTCTGAAACTTTTTGAGAAAAGACAGCTAAATTAGTGGAAAAGAATGGAAGTCCAGAAACAAATATATGAATATATGGAAGTCAGAAATGGTGAGAAATGTGGCTGGAGCGTAACTGTGGCTGGTCCTGTGATTAGGACCAAGAGCAAGGCATTCTATTTTATTCTTCATGCAGGAAAACACTGGTGTGGTTGTTGTGAAGACCCGTCTGTATCTTCTGGTGGCAACTTACACTGAGGGCATGTATCCTAGTATCTGTGTGGAAGCCGCAGAGAAGCTGGGTAAGTTTGCCTCCCAATGCCTGTATTAGTAGGATCTTCTGACTCCAAGTGACAGAGACCCAACTCAAACCAGCTAGGGCAGAAAGTAGGAAGTTATTGGAAGGAAACCAGGGTTACTTCTATAACCACTGGAAGGACAGGGTGCCGCGAGCTGCAGGGAAAGTGGATCCCGGGGACTGAAACACGGCTAGGATTCTGTCTTATCTCTGCTTCTAAGTGAGTCAGCTTTGTTCTGTCCCATTGCAAACTGCTTCCTGGCTTTTCCTGGCTGGTCTCATGGCCAATCCTCTCATCCTACCCCTTAATTTCTCTTAGGCCCCTAATGTGACAAGTCTTGGGTCATATGGTTTACCCCTGCGTCAGTCAGCTGTTTATGAAGAGTGGGGTAGGGGAGCAGGGAGGCAGCGGGGTAAAAAGACAGAGATGTAGCTGCTGGGGGCCCACCCTATACAAGGGGACATTTTACAGAAAAAGAAGTTACTGTGAGCCAGTCAGCCACCGTGTTGGTATATACTGCATTCCCCTACCGTGTCTACACATTTTTCAATGAAGATTTAATAGAGGACTAACTGGGAAATTATATCTCTGAGAGTTGAGCTTAATAAACGGTAAATTGTGGGGGCCGGCCCGTGGCTTACTCGGGAGAGTGTGGTGCTGACAAAACCAAGGCCAAGGGTTTGGATCCCTATATAGGGATGGTTGGTTAGCTCACTTGGGAGAGCGTGGTGCTGACAACACCAAGTCAAGGGTTACCGGTCATCTTTTTAATTAATTAATTAATTAATGGTAAATTGTGTTTGTGTTTAGATTTTTTAATCTAAATTTAAATTTCTAAAAAAAAATTATTTGGAGTTGCTTAAACACATCTTTGAAGCCTCTGGTAAAGAAAATAGCTGTCTATTCATTCTTTCAACAAATACTCAGTGGCCTGCACTATCCTAGCTAAACTAGGGAATCAAAGTTGGTTAAGATATAGTCTTATCCTGTACCAGCCAGCCATACCCACACACACACACACACAAATATATACATAGTCTCTGCCTTCCATGCGTCTACATATGCTGTCCTATCTGCCTGAAATATTTTCCCATTGTGTCCCTGCCTCCTCACATCTGGTTGGCTAATTCATAATCATCATTGAAGACCCAGGTCGATTCTGGGCTTCTCTCACACTGTACTATGTATTTTAAGCATACATTTATTCTTTTCCCCATCAGAATTCTTTGTTTATATAGATTGTGAATCCCTCCCTGTAAGGCAAGTATTTTGTCTTAATCATTGTCCCACCTAACATAGTGCCTGTTGCTAAGTAAGCAATTAATACGTGTTCGATGATCAAATAAATGAATGACTTCTGCCTAGCAGAGTCAGGAAAGGCTCCAGAGAACTGAATCTGAAAGCCTTGACTGAGAAATTAAGTACACACACAAATGTGTACAGACCTTCCCACTTGTCATAAATAGTTCTCTGGAGGGGATTCTCATTAACCATGCTACACGGCTGGCAGTGAGGTATTCTGGGAGCAAATAAGACTAAGCCTAGGCAAGACAAAACTTAGGAAACACCAAATAGCAAGAGTGAAGTCCAACCAGGGACGGACAAGCTATTACAACCACCAAGGACCCTTTCTGGACAGGTGTCAGGATTTGAGTGAGGGACATTCAGTTTCAGTAGATTAGGGTAGGAGCAGAAGACAGACTAGAGACACACAGAACTGGGCTAATTTTTCAATTAAAGTAACTAGAAAATGAGGATAGGAAGATGGACAATTAGACTGTCAAGAAGTCAGGCTCCATCCTATCAGCTAGGGCCCAGGGCTAATACCCCAACCAGAGAAGTTAACCTGACCACCGTAGTGTAGGTTCTGTGGCTGACACTGAAGGTTGGTATTCTTGCATAGGGCCACAAAAGACTCCAAAGAATGTGTACTGGTTAGATGGCTAGACATCATGCCAATAAGATCCCACTGCTTTGGGAAGGAAAAGGTTATCTTGGAAGTGGTTGGATGCTCATGAGGGATTGGCAAGGCTGATACCCACTCAGGAGCCAGATGTATCATTACTTACTTTTCTTTCCTTCACTTCTTATTCTTTTAATTATGTTTTTTCTATTGAAAAATTATACATGATCACTGTAGAAAATTTGAGGAGTAAAGAATTATGACCATTTAAAATTTTAATTGTAAAAGATTCTAGGAGTATGCCACTTATTAATTAAAGAAAACCTTTAGGGAACTTTGAACAGTCCTGTTATAGATTATCAACAGTCCTCAATATGATCAACTCTTTGTTCTAACAGTTCCTAGTCCTCTTTGTCCTAACAGTTCTAGGCAAATTTAAGAGAATTTGCCTAGAGATAATCAAAGTTAGGCATATAATTTAATCTGCATGAATGTTTTTCAAAATGTTATTCATAATAAAGCATTTGTTATGTTTATATATATATATTTGTTATGTTTATATATATATATTTATATATATATATATATCCACTACTAAATAATTAAGTAGGTTAATTTTGATACATTCTCTGTCATGATAGTACACTAAACAGCATATTGAAGAGAAATATACAAGGGTACTTGAAAAATTTCATAGGAAGATTTGTGTTATCTTTTAATTCTATTTTTCCATATTATATTCCAATTATGAAATAAAACTTGTATTTGTTAAAAGCTGGAAATATAAACATGTATAATAAGATATTAATAGCAGTAAAAAAAATGAAAAATAAATAAAATAAAATCTTTAAAAAGTAATTGGTAAAGGAGTCTAAGATACTTCTCTAACACAAATTAATCAGGCTTGTTTTTAAAACATATATTGATGAGTCTCATACATGAGTAAAATGTTAATATCTTTAATTCTTGGTCCTCAGTTTTAAAAAAGAAAGAAACTTAAGAACACTTTGTGACTAGTTTTTAGTACTATTATTGAATTATCAAATGTAGAGGATTCATAAAGCAAGTGTACCTCACAGGGCCTGGTTTTCCAAAGCCTTGCAGTTTCAAATATTGACCTTGCAAAGGACAGGAAATTTCCCTCAGGGCATTGAGTCTCTGTTGCAAGAGAAGAATCTAACACAGCAAGGCTGCTGGTTCTAAGACAGACAAGTTACTAATTGATATGTAAAGTTACTAAAAAGCTGCTAGAGGGAAAAGGAATGTCTGCTAAATCAGGCCTTTGTTACTGGATCACTTAATTGCCTAATGTCATCTGACTTGTTTTTACTGAATGTTACCAGCTTCTATGGTAATACTTGTTAAACTGTACTTAGCAAAACCCCACCTATGTCTCTTCCTGTAACTTCTTGGTCTGGAGAATAAATGCAGAAAGAGAACCCCAATTCGTCATTAATTTCCCAAATGGAAGAAATGACTCCTCGTGCTTGAGGAAGTTTTGGAATATTAACCCCTTTCCGGGGCTTCTCACTGCTCAAAACAGATGGGGTTTGAGTAATCTTTGGTGGCTCCGTCACCCAGGGGAAAAGGGGTGACAAATCCGTGGGAGGCAAAGCAACAATCAGAGAACTATAATTTTTTCTAAAAATTTCTTGTGACCTCTCTGTAAACTAAAGTTGGGGGATAGACTTAATTCTCAGAAGCCAACCTAGTTTCCTAGTTCCTTCATCTAAGAGTTGCCTCACTCTAAAACTGAATCCATATGCTAAAGAACTGGACTCTGGATAAACAAGAAAAAAACAAATCGAAAAGAAAAAGTAAATAAAACAAAAAAAGGTTAAAAAAAAATTTTTAACTGGGCTTTGTTTTCTGATAGACATAGATATGGATAGAAATAGATATTTCATGGTTTTGTTATTTTGTTTATTCTCATGAGAATTCCTAGGACTTTATAGCCAAATCTGTAACATACATCAATTGGAATGTATAATTTATTTTGTAGAACTTGTCTCGCAGTTAAGTTTTCAGGAGTATACTTCTTTTGTCACTTAATCCCTTCCTATTTTCCCACCTTTCCATCTGTCAGGATTGCAATAGAGGAAGGCAATTTAAATAATATCCAGCACTCAATTTAAGAACAAGAGTAGAATTTTTGATGAGCGAAGCATCAGTTTTCAAAGTTTTATTATTATTATTATTATTATTAATAGCTTTTTTAAAAATGAAGCACTGTAATCAGTTGAGGTTTTTTTTGTAAAATGCCTTATAAGTTTACAATGCTGTTTTTGTTTGTTATTTTCTGGGTGTTTTTTGTAAAATATATAATCAGATCTGAGTCATAGAATGCACACAGGAGAGGAGAGCAGAAGGTTCATTTGTTCCCCTTAATCCTGTGTCATCCTGTTCCTTTTGCCCAGCCGTATGCATCCTTCTTCCTCTCTTTGCATGGGGAATGAATTCATACTCCAGGCTCAAATCTCTCTATTGTGGCAATTATTATTGTGAAATGTAATTGATATTTGTATATATCTATCTCCTCTACTAGGCAATGAACTCCATGAGGGCAGGGACTGTTATAACTATACAGCCATCCTTGTATCTCCGGTACCTAGCACATGGTAATCACCCTACAATGTTCGTGGAATAGTAAATGAATGAATAAATCATATTGTAGTGATCATATACTGCTGAAAAATAATAACCATGTTGTGTTTTCTTTCAGGAGAATATCTAAGAAAAAAAGGAAATTAAGTCATCAGAGGACTATGAACCACAACTTTCTTATTTTAAAAGAAAACTATAGATCCTAAAGAAAAAATAATACCTTATTTTGCAGTTGGAAAACATTAGGCAGAAGATACTAAAAAAGAAGAATTAGTTAAGGAAGCAATTTTTCTTTCTTTCTTTATTTTTTTTCAAATAAAGATGACCGGTAAGGAGATCTTAACCCTTGACTTGGTCTTGTCAGCACCACGCTCTCCCACGTGAGCCACAGGCCAGCCCGTTTTTCTTTTCTTTTTTTTTTTTTTGGTAGCTGGCCAGTACTGGGAGGGAGCAATTTTTCTTATTCCAAGAGATCATCTTCTTTAATTGGAATTACTTGATCAACTTGTTCTCCTTTTCTTTTTTTTTTTTTTAAAAGATGACCCGGTAAGGGGATCTCAACCCTTGGCTTGGTGTTGTCAGCACCATGCTCACCCAGTGAGCAAACCGGCCATCCCTATATAGGATCCGAACCCGTAGCCTTGGTGTTATCAGCACCACACTCTACCGAGTGAGCCACGGGCCGGCCCAACTTGTTCTCCTTTTCAAGTGCTGGTCATTGGTGTGGGATGTGAGAGCACTGATAGTTTCACAGGACATATCTGTTGGGAGACTGCCCTATGGGAGGGTCCTGTAGTCCTACACATCTTGCTAGGTGTGCCAAGAATGCAAGGCCCTAACCACTCCTTATCCAGGCCATTTCTCAAGGTCATGTTGAAGCAAGCAACCATGATAAATTAAGTAATGTCTCTCTTCACAACAAAGCAATCTTGCTTACTGCTTGCTATAAAAGAGGTAGAGTCCCTGTGCTCAGTGTTCCGCTCTTGTATGCAGCTCACTGCATGTGTGACCTCCAGCTGGTCCACATCAGCCCTGTGGGACTTGGGGAGAAGGGGAACCAATGCAAAGGACACCCAACAATGGGCCAGTAGTCGAGGTATTCTATAGACATTCCACACTCCATTTGCAGGCATCTGGTATTATTGAACACCGGAATGGCCTCAAAAATCAACCCAAAAAGATTTCTGACTCCATCTCTCTCACTGTGTCCTAGTCCACACAACTTAGTAAGGCAATATGATCACTGAATGTGACCTCCAGAAAGGGTTCATCTCCTCTTGGTCACCTTCTGGGTGATTATCCAGATAATAACGGTGGGGAGTTATTGAACCTGTTTTTGAAAATTTGGGATTCTAATAATCAACCACATTGTATATCGACAAAATAAAATTTAAAAAAAAAAAAATTGGGGATTCTACCCTGACCATTCCTGGACATAATGCATCTTTATTTCCCCTAACAACAACCTAAGGCCAGCCTGGTTAGTACACCCTTCAGGTGTCTCAGGGGAGGAAATACCTTAGATCACTGACCAAAGAGGGCCTAGGGAATCCAAACTTAATTCTGGTTTGGCCATATTGGATTGACATGTTCCCATATCATGATGATGACAGCTTGGTTGAGTATGCACTCTCCAGGTCCCTCTACTGTGTACTACACAGGCCAAGGGGGGATATAATGGGTCTCTGTAAATTTTGTAAAAATACCCCTATCCCTCTAACATCTGACCCTTCCAAACAAAATGTCTGGATCCAAGTATGGCACAATTGGAGAACAAGTGTAGTCATAGCCATTGGGATAGGACACACAAATTGCATGGCCATGGAGGCCCTGGCACCTGGTGAGTGAACACCTTAGACCGCAGGAGATGGGGGAATAGGGGAGCTCCTTAATGCCCTTTTTGTCCCCTAGATTCAGCACCTCAGCTGGCAAAATAATCATATGGTCTAACTTACTAGCTTTTATAAATAGAGTAAAATCAAATCTTAGACCTTTTGTAGTTCTTACATTATCAGGCAGCAAGGTGCAATCTTCTGAATTCCAAAGACATGCTGTCTGGGGTAAGATGTCTTTTGTTAGTTGTATAAAATTCTCTCATGTTCAGGTTTTGTATAAGAGCATGTCAAAGAGCTTACTTCCAACATTATTCCTTTTCTGAGATTAGGTGCCAAGAACGACAGATTTATTTCTTGGTGGTCAACATTACCACTAGTCCATTCATTTATCTATTCAGTAGATTCTTTTTTTTTTTTTTTTTTTTTTAAAAGATGACCGGTAAGGGGATCTTAACCCTTGACCTGGTGTTGTCAGCACCACGCTCAGCCAGTGAGCGAACCGGCCATCCCTATGTGGGATCCGAACCCGGGGCCTTGGTGCCATCAGCACCGCACTCTCCCGAGTGAGCCACTGGGCCGGCCCTACAGCAAATTTAATTTAAACCTCATTTGGCTTTATTGTGATTCTACAGTCGGGAAACACTTCATACTATAAAATAGAATAAGTGTTCCAATGAACCAAGCAGAGGCGGTAGTAGATTCTTTTTTTTTTTTTTTTTTTTTTAAAAGATGACCGGTAAGGGGATCTTAACCCTTGACCTGGTGTTGTCAGCACCACGCTCAGCCAGTGAGCGAACCGGCCATCCCTATGTGGGATCCGAACCCGGGGCCTTGGTGTTATTAGCACCGCACTCTACCGAGTGAGCCACGGGCCGGCCCAGTAGATTCTTTTTTGAACAAGAGATCAACAGAAATTTAAATTATTTAGCATTCATTGAGTAGCCTACTGTGTGCTAGGTTGTGGTGATACAGAAGTAAATAATTGTGAACCCCAGGTAGGTTCACAATCCATGGGGAAGGGAAACTTGTTAATGAGCCACATTATCATGTCATAAATGCTGTAACAGATATAAAACAAAGAACTAGAGAGCACAGAGACCAGAGCAACTAAGTGTGCCTTCAGGAGTCTGAGAATGGCATTGGAAGTGAATTTGGAAGAATGAGGAAGTATGGAAAAGCTAGGAGGAACAGTATATGCAAAGGCACAGAGTCATGAAAATTTCTGTTGTGTGGAAAGAATGGTGAGAAGTCGATGTGGCGAGAAAGCAGGATGTGTGGGGGAGTGATGAAAGAAACTGGTAAAATGGATGTCGCCAAAATAGAAAAGACCACTCTCCTCAGTGTCACTGAAAGAACATCAAGCATTGCTATGGTGTAGATAGTACTTTTAGAAAACTATTAAATTCTTTTTTTTTTTTCCTTTTTGTCTCTTTTTTTGTGACCGGCAACGGATCGCAACCCTCAGTGTCGCGCCCGTACCGGACCGGGACCGGCAACGGGATCGCAACCCTCGATGTTGCCCCCTCACCTCGCTCAGCCAGTGAGCGGCCGGTCTGCATGTGGGATCCGAACCCTCGGTGGGAGCGCCGCTGCGCTTCCCAAGCAGCGCACTGCAGCGGTGCGCCACCGGGCCGGCCCAGAAAACTATTAAATTCTGATTGCAAAAGTAATATACACTCACTTAAAAAACTTGGGAAAATAAACTCGTAATTTCACATTAACTGAAAACTTATATTGATGGTTTTGTTATTTTCTTCCAGCCTTTTTCAATACACATAATATATACGTTTTAACCTTACCTAGATCCTCAATGCATATACTTGACATACCACTCTGTTCATTTAACGTAATGTCATGACACCTTGAATGTCATTACAATTGCTTCAAAACATTTTAAGTCATTGCATACCACATAGTTTAAATATATCATTCTTCTTTGTTAGATATTTAGGTTATTTCCACTTTTTCACTTCATAAATAATGTTACAATTTATAAATTTTACATAATTCTTTGTGTCTGGAAGTGGAATTTCTTTTTTTTTTTTTTTCCTTTTTGTCTTTTTTCGTGACCGGCAACGGATCGCAACCCTCAGTGTCGCGCCCGCACCGGACCGGGACCGGCAACGGGATCGCAACCCTCGGTGTTGCTCCCGCACCTCGCTCAGCCAGTGAGTGGCCAGTCTGCATGTGGGATCCGAACCCTCGGCGGGAGCACTGCTGCACTCCCAAGTGGCGCACTGTAGCAGTGCACCACCGGGCTGGCCCTGGAAGTGGAATTTCAAGGTCAGAGCTGAGCAACTTCACAGCTCTGTGGAGTTTTTGTTTTGATTCTTAAAGGGAAGGAGTTTTACACCATGATTTATAATGGGTAGATGGGTGGAGGGGTGTATAATTCAGTTATTAATCAGCCTCCTGTGCTTGTGGGGTCTGAGGCAGTCTTACTGAGTGTCCCAGTGGGGGAGAATGAGAGGAAATACTGCAGTCAGTTGGACTAGCTGAGTCAGGGACTGGAGAGGCAGGTTACTTATTCAATTGCAGATAGTGCTAAGTCATGGTGACTGGACAGTCACACCTGTGCGGTATAGAGAGGTACAAGATAAAGATACTTGTGAGGTTTGCAGGACAAGCCACGAAGCATTTGAGAACTAGCCACAACTCCAAAAGAAACCAGGTAGGCCAAGGCCCAAAGCTAAACAGAAGACTGAGCTATTGATATTTTAGGCTAAAGTTATGCTATATTATCAAAACAGACGGGACTGGAACAGAGACATGCAAAGAATAGCTCTCAAGCCTGCAAGACTTGAACATCCGAACATATTGATATGTGTGTAGAAGGAATGTGTAACCATAAAAAATGAATGTTGGTCAGCCAGGGAAGCTCAGATAAAGAGTCACTGGAGTAAATGTTGGTTGCGCCCATTCAAGGTGGGAGGGTCTTTGAGTAAACAATTTAAGTAGTCTAGTACTTTCCAACAGTAACTCTCCAACACCAACCAGGTGTCCTACAATTCCGTTTTGACACTAACTACCCTGAGTTAGTGTAGACCTCACCATTTAAGGGGCTCAGTTTCCACAAGACTGCTTCCAATTCAGATGCCAAACACACGTCCCAGGTCTCCAGGCTACCTGCACTCCTGTCTTACTTGGCGACAAATTCAGGGGATGGGGGTCCTACAACAGGAGGGTTTGATAATTTGCTAGGACTACCAGAACTCATAAAAGTGCTGTAGTTATTATTACAGCTTTATTATAAAGGATACCTGTGCTCTCCAAACCTTGTCATTCCAGGGTTCTTACAAGGGCTTTCATTATGCAGGCATACTAGATTATATAATCAGCTACATAATTGAACTGACTCCACTCCCTCATGCCTCCCCAGAGGTCAGGGAGTGAGACTGAAAGTTCCAACCCTCTAATCACAGGGTTGGTTCCTCTGGTGATCAGCCCCCAACCTGAAGCTATCTAGCACAACCCTCCCCTAAA